CTATCTGACGCTACTGCTTCCACAACCCCAAAAACATAAGCGGCCTCGAAGCTTGACGAACTGACTTACAAACCATATTTCACAGCTGTTCTCCATACCAGGTTTCCAGAATTCCTTAAGTAGCTGTGGCAGCATGTCATTAATTCCTGCAGCTCTGTCATCTTTCAGCTGGCTTAAGCCTTCAGTCATTCATTCAAGAGTCCATGGTTCAGGTGTAATACCATACAGTGAATCTTGTCTTAAAATCGCATCAGGGTTCAGTAGCGGTTTTCCCCACCTCTGAATAACTTTACAGGATCGGACATCAGCAAAACGCTCTGTTTCATAACGATCGTTATCTGACGCTCCCTTTCGTCGAAATAACAATGGACTTTCCTCATCAACGTCTTCTTATCTTTCTCGGACTCTACCTTCCATTATTTCAGTCTGTATCTTCCAAAAATTCATTAACTTTCCTTAATGACTTTTTAATTTCTTTCTGTTCTTCTCCTCTGAAACACTGAATGTTATCAATCGCGGGCATCATTTTGCTCAAATCAGCGTCGGCTTAAAAATCGGTACTTTCCATCGCCTCCCATGAAAGTGAATCAACAAAACTATACCGACTAGTCTTCTGAGCCTCAAATCTTTAAAATCTTAAAAAGAGTCAGTTCATCTGGGGCATTCGAAAATTTAATGTTTTAAGCAAACAATAGGCTTCAGACCAAAGCTGATACAGCAGAGACGTAAACAATACAGATGAACAATGCAACAATACTTTGACTACGCATACAGCATTAACCTCAGCTTTTTGTGCGTGAGAAGTCCACGCATTACTTTTAAGATTTACATTATTATCATGTTGTCTTGTACGATGTAAATGGCTTCGTACCAAATTTCCGCGGTGAAAAATGTATTTCGAAAAGTTCTCAGTTCCTCGGATCTTCAACAGTTACGGTATTTGTTAATACAGATAATGAGGTAACGTTCTGTCTACACTATGAGATATCATCCTTTCTATAGCAAATATTGAATGTTCATCCTAAATTCTGATGAGAAATAATTATGCTACATCGAAAACTTGAAATATTCGTCAGAGTGCTGCATACTAAAAGAATTTAGTCTGTGTTAACATATCGATCACAGCAGTCCAACATTTGGCCAGTACTCACGTACTGAATCGAGAAACCTCGAAGCTAGAAATGTAGATGTCGAAGACTCCACAGCCCTCTCATAAAAAGTCAAAAACTTTCCTTTACAAAAAAATTTTATTCGAACCGTTGGTTTCCCCTCCCTCCTATAGCAATCAACTCCACCGTTGGCGGTTCCAAGCCTGGATGAAAAAGGAAGAGGACTGGAGACCGTGGCGAACTCTTCATAAAACGTAGCCACCTGACATACATGGTATTTCCGTCACTGAACATTATATCGCCCTGTCGTTGCCCAAGTTGAGAAGAGGCGCGCAGGCGATTGGGGCCTAAGGCAGGCTGCGGCAAGTCGGCGATCAGAAGCTGTTCACATCCTTCTGGTAGTCGTGGGGAGGGAGGGGGTAGCAGCACGACAACGGCTGCCGAGAACAGCCAAACGACGAAGAATATACCAATTAGCAATTGGGTCCGTAGTCGTTCTAAACCGAGAAGGCAGATCGCGTGATGCCATTATGGCATGTCAGAAAAGTTTCCAATGGAACAACACCGACAGTGAGAATGTACAGTCGGTAAATTGAGCATTTCCTCACTCAGAAAGAAATTGTAGAAGCTAGTTGATGACTTTGTAAGG